ACTGTACTCCCTGTATACCCATGACTGTGTTGCCAAATTCTGAATGAACGCCACCTGCAAGCTTGCTGACAGCACCACCGTAGTAGGATGGATATCTAACAACAACGAGTCAAAATACAGAAGGGAGATAGAGGGCTTGGTGATGTGGTGTAATGAAAACAATCTGTCTCAATGTCAGCAAAACTAAAGAACTGATCATGGAGTTCAGAAAGAAAGAAGGAGAACATGCCCCCATCTACATCAATGGAACTGAGGTTGAGAGTGAAGAGCATCAAGTTCCTTGGAGCGATGATAACCAACAATCTGTCCTGGATTTCCCACATAAATGCAACAGTCAAGAAGGCACAACAATGCCTTTTCTTCCTCAGGCGGCTCAGGAAATTTGGCATGTCCATAAGTTCCCTCACCAACTTCTACAGATGTACCATTGAAAGCATACTGTCTGGGTGCATAACTGCCTGGTATGGCAACTGCTCTGCCCAGGACTGTAAGAAACTACAGAAGGTGGTATGCACAGCCCAGACCATCATGGAAGCCAATCTTCCATCCATGGCCTCTATTTACATGGCTCACTGCTGCGGAAAGTGGTCAATGTCATCAAACACCCGTCGCACCCTGGTAATGACCTCCCACAACATCTTCCATCAAGCAGAAGATACAAGCACAAGCATATTCAGGAACAGCTACTTTCCGGCCGTTATCAGACTGTTGAATGGACTCTAGCCTCAAATAATGTAACCTGCAATGTAACCTGTATGCCTCTGCTTACTGTGATCTGCCTGTACCATTCGTAAACAAAGCTTTTCACTTTATTTCAGTACACATGACAATAAATCAATCAATAATGTGGTACCATTAATTAAGAAAAGCCTTAAGGAAAAGCCAGGGAACTATAGATCAATGAGTCTTATGTCAGTGGTGAGTAACTTTTTAGAGACGATTCTGAGGGACAGGATTTGTGTGCATTTGGAAAGGCAAGGACTGATTAGGGATAGTCAGCACAGCTTTGTGTATGGGAAATCATATCTTACCAATTTGTTTGAGTTTTTTGAAAAGATAATAAATATTGATGAAGGCAGAGCGATAGGCATTGTCTAAATGGATTTCAGCCAAGCTTTTGACAAGGTTCCACATGGTAGACTGGTTAGTAAGGTTAGATCACATGGGATCCAGGGGTGCTAGCCAATTGGACACAAAATTGGCTTGGAGACAGAGGGTGGTGCTGGAAGGTTGTTTTTGAGGATGGAGGCCTGTGACCAGTGGTGTGCCACAAGGATCAGTGCTGGGTCCACAGCTTTTTGTCATTTATATAAGTGATTTG